TTTGGTTGAAGTGTCGTATTGGTACACGAGGAATCCACATAAACAGTAAAAAGATGTGCAACTCAGAAATGTCAATGATACGGTTCAGATGTTCAATCAATGATAGATAAGACAAAGGGCTCCTCCTCCACCACCTCCTCCTCCAAGAAAGAAAGTTAGGGTTTGTGCCTCTCGTCGGCGCCGGCACAGGTCCGCCTCGTCTCCGGTGGCCCTAGGGCCATGGAGGCACGGTGGATCCTGGCAAGGGCCGGCGGAAGGGCTTCGTTTTCAGTCGTTTTTTTCAATCTTGTTAGGGTTTGTGTCCTACTCAGGAAGTCGAGACGGCGGCGGCTCCCTGAAGATGGAATAAAGGTCTCCCCACCTAGCCCCCGTTCCGGCGGTGCGTCTAGCATCGTTGGTGGGCGTGTGGAGGTGTGTCTCCGGCAGATCTATCTTTGGTGGATTTGCTCGGATCTCGTCGTTGTTCGTCTACGTTCATGTGTCTTCGGTTTGGATCCTTCCGATCTACGTTATTTTTCATCGGCGGCGGTTGCTGTTCTGGGGTGCTGGTCCTATGAGGCCTTAGCACGACGACTTCCCGACTGTCTACTACAACAAGTTGTGCCCGGCTCGGGCGATGGAGGGGCAATGACGGCGGCGCGCCTTCGTCTCGCTTCGGTGCTTGTATTCGTCGCTAGGTGGTCTACGAATCTGGATGTAATTTTTATTTCTGACATTCGTTGTACTGCCATGATTGAAGATGAATAGATTGGAAGTTTTTCCGAAAAAAAAAATGATAGATAAGACAAGATTGCCATTGAAAAATCAATTTATAGCGGTGCTATGCATGCTAAACTGGAAGCAGATTTAGTAATAATTTAAGTGTGCATATCAAGTGGGAAACCTCACTTGGGTGGAACTAGTAATCGAAAAGCCTTTCAGTTGACGTGTCAAATAACATTAAAAAAATCATCACAACTGCAGATATACTTTCCAATTTAAGCTACCTACTTGTAATGGCGTTTTAAATCCAATCAAATGTTAATAGTAAAATGTAACAACTTGAAAATTGTTTCTGTTTGGTGGATGCCACTCCATAGACCAAATATGTAACCATCGTACCCAGCCGATAAGGGATGACCGAGCGTGTCCAATCAATGTGCCACATAGGATTGGCCCACCGCAGACAATATTTTATCTTTTTTTATTCTTTCTTTTTCTCCCTCCATCCCACCAAAAAGATGCATATGACTGGACATATAGGGAGAAAAGTCGTGAACAGACAAACAAAGGTTCAAAATGGACACGTCCAAACATTGATCAAATTTGTTTGCGGATGAAGGGCTAAATTTGGGGAGTCCAGCTATAGATGCACTTGTATAACACAACAAATTGCCCGTGCTCGCAAACGTAAGCAGGCGGGTTATCTATCATTATTTTCTCTTGTACTCCATAGGGAAAGATTATGATTGCTGGTTATCCATATGTCAGGCCAGACCACTGGATTGAATTGAATTGAATTCAAATTGCTACCTGCCATCCTGCACTCCTGCTGCTTACTTTTACGCTGTTGTCACCTGGAGCGGAGCCATGCATGCAAGATCCCTGCCAAGATCCACAAAAATGTTTGCAGGAGCTGACCGCACCGGGAAGAGTGGACGCACGGCGGGCTCCGCGTGCGTGCAAGTGCAAGGCTAGCGGGCATGATGAGTGCACGTACGCCGGTGCGGTGCCGCCGCGGCAGCAGGTAGTGGAGGTACTCCCCCGGCGGTAACGACAAGTCCATCAAACGGGTGCCTCCCCCGATGTACATGGAGCCATGGGCCGCTTCAATCAGATCCGCGCGTAGCACCCATCCTCAGCAGGAGTATAAAATGCAGGCGATGTGTACAAGGTACAGGTGCATTTGATGCGAACAGGCGGAGCATGGATGGACGCCGTGCGGAGCCATGTGCGCGCGTCGTGCCCATTGATTTGCGGTTGCGGCGTGCCGACCGCAAATTACTCGCGGCCTCCAACAGTCCATCATCGTCCATGTCCATCCCCGCAAGACTGAATGAACATGTTAACGAGTGCTCTAGTAGGTACCAAAATCATGTGATTGGTCGATCGATCTGCTGCCACCCTGGTAGTACCAAGAGATAAAACCCTCCCTCGAGCTGGAGATTCTTTAGGAGCGTATATTTGACCAAGGATACACTAGACGTTTCCATTCCAGATCATCTGCTTGATCAGAGGAAGCCGCCCCTCTGTTACGGAGA